CTGTGACGACCCTGGCAGATACAGCCCTGTCCTGGCTCCATCCTGCCTCTCCCTGCTCTCCAGATCTGGTACCCACGCTGGGCCACCCTCCCTGCGGGAGGGAGCTCCTCAGAACTTGGAGCTGGTCATCCTCAGGAATGCGAGGTGGGGCGTGGTGAGTCATCAAGCGGCTCACGGCAGGGGCGGGGGCGCTCCCCTCCAGGCCTTCCCGGCCCTGCCCCTGCGTGTGGCTCTGGGCAGGGCACGCGTCTTCTCGGAGATGCTGGCCCTGCCCAGCTGTCCCTGGGGCAGTCTCTGTGGCCCTCTGTGCCAGGGGACACATCGAGCACTGAGCTGCAGGCCCCTGATGGTGGCCGTCTCTCACCTTCCCTGGCTTTGTCACTCGGCCAGCCGGGTCCCTGGCTGCGTCCCCACGGGGTAGGCAGCCCTCCCTCCCACTCTGGCTCAGTCGAGGCCAGGCCGGTGCTGTCACTGAAGCAGCGTGGCACTAAGTGCCGTGAGGTTGTGTAGCATCCCGAGGCCTGGGGCTGTGTGGGGCTGGGCTTCGGGGAACCCCCCACCCCCCACCCCAGGCCTGCCTGGACTTGCAGAGAGGAAAGGATCCCGGCCTGTGGTTGACAGGACGCCACCTGCGGGCCTGAGGACCCTCTGGCGTGTTTGGGAGGAAAGCAGGACTCTGAACTTGGTAACCATCGGAGCCGAGCTTCCCGGCAGCATCTGGAGGGAGCAGGGCTTCAGAAGGGGCTTCTCTGGGTGGTTTCTGCAGGGGCAGCTTGTTTGGCCCTGGCCTGAGCTCCGGGCTTGGGAGCTGCTGTGACTTGATGGGCTCCCGGCCGCGTCGTGATGGGCGTCCCCAGGCACCGCCGGGGAGCCAGCCCCGTCTCAGCCCGGTGATGTGTCACCAGGCTGCTCAAGTCTCCAGCCACACGTGTCAGCTGAGGGCAGCACGGCACCTGTGGGCGATGCTGGAGGCCCCAGGCCCGGCTATTCCTTCCCGTAGCCCGGCTCTGGACCTGCCCGCTCCTGGGCTCCCGGCTCCTCCCACGCAGGTGTGAGCTGCCCCAGACGAGTGTCAGCTGGGCCTCGGGCTGCAGAGGGCAGGGGGTCTGCACCCAGAGGCAGCTTTCGTCCCCTGTCTCCACTGGGTCAGCATGGGAGGTGCGGTGCCTTCGTGCTCTCTTTCGGCCTGGGGGAGGACCCAGGCCCCCTTCTGTGCCACCTGGAGAGTGATGTTCCCTTGGTGGTTCCAAGGCCTTCTGTGTCAATGCTCAGTTGGGGCCCTGCTGCTTGGGGTGCTTCAGGGCACTGATTCCACGGCGGGAATCACTACGTGTAGGCCACTTGGCCCGAGAGGGCAGGCCTGCAGGACGGGGCCCAGGGGAGCACAGCCAGCCCCTGGGGAGCACCGGGGATCTTACTGTGGGAGTCAGGAGGCCGGGCTGGCCTGAGTGGACATTTGGAAACCTGGATTTCCAGCATGGGTGGTCTGAGCCTCCCCACCCCACAGTTCCAGAAAAGACCACAGAGGGAATCTTTACATGTGCCCCATGTTTAACTCCTGCGGCTGCTGCAACATATCACCCCAATCTGAGTGGCTTAAAACCGTACGGGTCTATTACCTTACGGTTCTAGAGGTCAGAAGTCTGAAATGAGCTAAAGTCCAGGAATTGACAGGCCCGGTTCCTTCCGAGGCTCCAGGGAGAACCTGCTTCCTTGTCCTCCCAGCCTTGACGGTAGCCCCGCCTCCGTCGACACAGCCATGGGCCGGGTGTCTTCCCACCTCTTTCTCTCTGACCCTCTTGCCCCTTCCTTTAAGGGCCACGTCATGACACAGGACCCCCCTGGATACTCCAGGATCATTGGTCACCTCGCTGTCCTCAACTTAAGCCCACTTGCAAAGTCGCTTTTGCTGGGCCAGGCTCCAGGGATTAGGATGTGGACCTCTGGAGGGCTGACCACACTCTCCTTAAAGACCACTGAGCTGTGGCTCTCAGGGCACAGCCATGGCCACGGCCACGGTCACGGAGTCCGAAGCTCCCGGTGGTTGGAGCGGGCTGAGGACGGCTCTGCTCTGCCCCCGCGTGGTCACCTCAGGAGTGGGGCAGGCGGGTTTAGGTAATTTGATCCTGCTTGTGTCCTGGTTATGTCTCTGTGAAGGGGCCCCAGCTGGAGGGCATGTGGCCAAACGCCCCACCACCCTTAAACAGGCTTCCCTTGCCCAGAGAGCTGAAGGGGGAGGCTTCAGATCCTTGGGCCTTGAACTGCCCGCTGTGTCCAGATACCCACCCGGGCTGACGGCACAAGTGGTGCCCGAAGTGGTGGCTGAGCATCACTGCACCTGCCGGGCCCCCGCTCACAGATCTTGTCCCCCCTCCGCCCCCCCCCCCACCAGTGGCAGGTTGCAGATCACCAGGCAGTGTGGCTCCAGGGGCCAGGGAGAGCTTGGGGCTGTGGTCAGCGTGCCAGCCCCTCCCGAGGGGGGCGCCCTGGGAGACGGCTTGGCGGATGTGGGCCTGTGCGTCTTAGCGAAGAGCAGGATTTCTGTCCCCTGGGGTGGAGTCTGGGTGTTCCTGTGCGGGCAGCAGGGGGGCCAGAACAGTGGTCACGTGGGCAGGGGGTGTGAGCCGGGGAGGGGGGCCCCGACTGGAGGGGCCCTGCTGGCTGACGGCTGCCTCCTGCCCCTGCGTCCCCCCACGTGGCTCTTCCCAGACTGCCCATCTGGTGTCCTTGTGGCCCACAGGGCTGCTGAGCGGGCCCGAGAGGCTGACGTTGACCAGGGCTCCCTGCGTATCCGACCTGCCCGGGAGCTACTGGAAGGTGCGGTCCTCAGGGTGGGCTCAGCGCCCCCAGCCAGGTGTCCGAGCGGCTCAGGGGCGTGGTGCCATCCGAGCCTGCCTGTCCCCAGGGTCTGGACTGAGTGAGCATGGAGACAGAGCTGCCGGCCGAGAGCAGGTTTCCAGAAACCAGCGTCCCTGCCTGCCTGCTCACCCAGCACCTGCCTCCGTGGCCACGTCACGGGGTCAGCCTGCCGGAATGACACCTGCCTGCCTGGCAAGGCCGCTCAGGACACCGAGGCCACCGTCCACCCAGCCCTCAACACACACGTGGTGCACCTACCTCAAAGCTTCACTGAGTGCCAACTGTGTGCCCGGGGCTGTGCCCCCTGGAGGCACTTACCTTTCAGGGACTCTCTCAAAGACAGGGATCTGCGCTCAGAAGGGACGGGCGGGGTCTCCAGGGTCTCCTCTCTGAGCCCCCTTGGGTGGGTGCTGTCCGCCTGCCCTGCCCGATGGCTGTGGGTCTATCCTTCTATCCCCTCCCCGCCCAGCCAGCTCTCCCTCAGCTGTGCCCTGGGTCCCTCTGTCCCCCACCCTCTTTGGGGGCTCTGCTCTGCCCTCCAGCTTCCCATGAATCACTCTGGTTCCGTTCTGAGAGGACTCCAAGAGAGCCTCTCTTGCTCCTCTGTCTTCTGTCTTAGGCAGCCTCAGGGCTTGGCAGGGCCCCGGGGGTGTCCCCAGAGTAGACGCAGCTTGTGTGTGGAGCAGAGGCCCTGGCTCTGTGTCGTGTCTGGAGTGCCGGCCGGGCACATTCTGAGCATGGACCGGTGGTGGGGTTTGCATAACCTGGTGGGCAGGCTCTGGGGTGGCCGGGAGGAGCCTGGCCCCCCGTGTGTTGCCTTCGGCGCCCTTCAGCAGTGGGCTCACGTGGCTGGCATTTTAGGGTCGGAGCACCGAAGGTGGGCATTTTCACGGGAACTGGAGGGTGCAGTCGTGGCTTGTACGTGCTTGAGTGAAGCGTCTGTGTGTCTCTCCTTGCTTCTGTGGTTAGGGGAGCTGGCTGCTCAGCTGGTGAGGCTGCGTCTGAAAAGTGCGGACTGGCCCGCGGCCCAGGCGTGGGCTCCCGTCCCCGTGCCTGGCACGCTGGGGATGCTCCAGGGATGCTCCGTGTCTGCAGCGGCTTCCCGCCTCGGTCTCCGGGTCTCCCGGGCAGTTGCGTCCTTCCTGGCCCTAGCCTCGCACGCAGGTGTCCCGGGCAGCCTGTTCTGACGCCCTCAGTCGCTGCCCAGCCTCCCTTCGAGCTCAGCTTGGTGGACGGAAGCCTGGAGGGAGGGATGAGAGGCGAGGGCAGCCCCAATCTTCTCCACACCTTTGCATTCCTGCAGAAGGAGGTGTGACCCTCCTGGGGTGCGTGGGCACAGGTGTCTTGCCCTGGTGGTCGGTGGTCTCAGATGGGAGGTGTTCTCCCAGAAGCGGGGTGCCAGGGACCTCCACTGGGTCCTGTGCTGGGGTTGTTGCTGGTGGTCTCCTGTCCCCCTGGCATTGGGAGCCCCCCGGGGACCCCAGACAGGTCCCGCGCTCGTTTCCTGGGAACAAAACGGACACAACAGTAGACATTGGTTCTCTCGCTGTTCCTGGAGGCTGGGAGTCCAGCATCAAGGTCACGGCAGGGCCACACTCCTTCTGCGACCTCCTGTCCTTGACGTGTCCCCCAGCCTCTCGTGGCTCCCATTGTCCCTCGGCTTGTGGCCACCTCACTCTGACCTCTGCTTCCCCGTGTGTCTCTTGTCAGGACCCCAGTCGCAGGATCTAGGGCCCCCCTCACCCAGTGCGGTCTTGCCTGGATCTTTACTTGCATTTGCATTTTCTTTGCGGAGAAGGTCACATTCTGAGGCTCCGGATGGATGTGAATTTGGGGGGGGGGGCATCTAGTCCCTCTACCCCCTGCCCTCCCTTGGGCTTTTTGTCCCCCAAAGCCTGGGCAAGGGCACCTCACGAGTTACTGGTTTTTTCCTTTGGGGCCCATGGGCCCCAGAGGAGCGGCGGGCGCTGGCTGGCACCGTCCCGGGTATTTCTGGATTTGGACTTGGGAAGCGCACTCCACTCCCCCACCGCTCCCCCTGCCCCGCCCAGTCCCCTCTGCAGCCACCGAGTTTCCTCAGTGAGGGGCCCGACCCCAGGTGGCTGCTGGCTGTTAACCCTTGGCCCTGTGTCCCCGCGCAGATGTGGATGAGTGCCAGGTGCACAATGGCGGCTGCCAGCACAGCTGTGTGAACACGCCAGGCTCCTACGTCTGTGAGTGCAAGCCCGGATTCCGGCTCCACGCGGACGGCAGGACCTGTTTGGGTAAGCGCCCTGCGGCTCCGGGAGCGGCCGGCCCACCCACTTGCTGGGCGCCCGCCAGGACAGGGGCTGGGGTCCCTGTACTCAGGGACTGAGAGACCCTCTGGGGTCTGTGTGTGCTCAGTGGCAGCTCTTACGGCGTCTCCATCCTGCTGAGTGTGCAGCTCCTGGGGGAGGGAAAGGAGGAGTCCCAAGGACCTGGCTCCCCCTGCTGAGGCTGGGCCCTGGGACGCTGAAGCCGCGTTCCCGGGGCGCCTCTGGGCACCTGGGGAGGAGCCCCTGGGCCCCGATACTGTGGAGCGCCCTCTCTGCAGAAGCCGCAGTGATGGGGACCAACCTCGGGGGCGACTTGGGTGCTTGCTGGGTGTCAGGGGAGGCCTGGTGAGGGCAGGGGCGGCGTGAGACCGCTCTGGGGCCGGTGGGCTGGGGTTTCCGGGCCCAGGTTCCCCCCCCCACCCCAGCCTTAGGGAGCATAGGGGGTTGGGCCGTGGTGGGGTTGGGGGGAGGGGTAGCCAAAAGCCGGGTCCTGACCCTCACTTCCTCAGCACGTTCTTTTCCTGTGGGGAGTAGGCTTGATGGAGTGCCTGGCCGTGGCCTGCTGTCCCTGCGAGCGTGGAGGGCTACTGGGGGGAGGGGACAGAGCCAGGCTCCCGCTGAGGTGGAGGCTGGAGTGGCCGGAGGCGGGTCTGGGGTCGGGTGGCCAGCGCTCACTCCCCACCCTCCTGTGCCCCTCTCCTGGCTGGCTCTGGACGCAGGTGCCGAGGGCACAGGGCTGCTGTGTCTGGGAGGCCACGGGATGGTCGTTCTTGGCGGGGGCTGGGGGCCGGACACCCCTTCTCTCACCCCGGAGACCCAGAGCGGGCCCGGCAGGCTCCCAGCGGCCCCATCCCCGCCTGCCTTACTGCTATGTGGCAGGGCAGCCTGCCAGCCCTGGGGGGGCCCTCCCGGCACTCAGGGCGCATACTCACATGTCCGGGCGCTGCTCCGTGAAGCTTCTCTGGGTCGGGAAGTGGAAACAGATGTGGGAAGTGTTGTAATGTGCTTCCAGACAAATCTGACTAGGGTGCAGTCTCCAGCTGCTGCCCCCCGGCGCTAGGGGGAGGGGGCTCCTGGGAGTCTGCTGGTTCACCCTGGCCCCCCGACGTCTCTCCTCACCCTTCCTCCGGGCCGGGTTCTCCCTGGAGAAGGGTGTCCTGGGGGTTGGTCCGGGGTGGGCCGGGCCTGGTGGGTGCCCACTGCCCCCTCCCTGTCGCGGGCTCCCCTGCAAGGGGCCTGGGGCTGGGACCCACCTCCCCAGTCTCTCTAGTTCCCCCCCCCCCCCCCGTGTGTGCTGATCGTGGCCTTCGGTGAGGTGCTGGGTGGTGGTGATGCGTGGGCAGCGTGCAAAGGGAGGGGGGCCTTCACGGCCGTGGAGGGACAGGCTGTGGCCTTGAGACTGGCCTCAGGCTGTTGGCTGCGGGAAGTTCAGGTGGGGCGCCCCTCAGCCTTGCCCTGGCCCCCAGCTCACCCCCTCGCTGCGCTGGAGCTGTTCCCAGGAGCCTTTCCTAGGAGTCCCCTCTGCTCCAGGCCCCAGAAGTCTTGATTTGTGACATTTGCTTATTTAAAGGTCCTCTCGGGTCTGATGCCGGGCTCCTGGGCGTGGTCTGCACAGCCCTACCTCAGGCTGCTGGGACCTCTCGGCCCCTGCCCGGCTGCGGAGGCGGCCAGCCCTCTCCCTGTCGGTGCCGCCCCCTGGGCGCTCCCCGTAGCCGGAGTGGCTCCTTTCTTAGAGGGCATGCGGCCTCTCGCGCTTTCTTCTTTGGACTGGAATCGCCAGCGGGAAATGCGCGCACTGTGCCCCGCTTACCTGCACACACCTGGCTGTTTTGGGTGAATTCTGGGACCTGGTGGATCCCAATGGATACCTGGGAGTCTGGGAGCTGACAGGTTGACAGGCCGGTCCCCACGTCCCCCACGGTGTCTGGGATTGGTGCAGGATTGTCAGACTTGGTCCACTGGGAGCTGCCTTTCCTGGGGGGGGCCTGGGCTTTGCTGAGAGACTTCCAGAGTGGACAGGTGTCTCCAGGGGGCTTCTTCACAGGCAGAGCTGGAAGTGTTCGTTCTAGGGGCACCTCTCCCTTCTTGCTACTGTCCCCCTTTTGGTTGCCGAGGGACCTGCCCAGGTGCGGTGGTGGCCTTGGGTGGGTGGGTGGGCAGGCTGGCCAAGCATCTGAAATCATGGATGGGTGGCTTCCAGGTGGGGCTCGGGTGGAGGGCGCCACGGGACCCCTCTGAGGGCTCTGAGTTGTGGGGGGGGTGGACTTCTTGCCACTGAGAAGTTGTGGGGCCCTGCCCCCTCTCCTCTGGGGCTCCCGGGGAGGAGCTGGGCCTTGTCTGAGGTTTACAGGGTGCCTTCTGAGCCCAGACCACCCTAGGGCTGTAGCACAGGATTATGGGAAGCATCAGAATAGGACCCGCACCCCCACCCTGTGCAGCTATGGGACAGGCTGCACAGCTGGAGCACAGCTGCTCTGGAACCCCTCTCCTGGGCCCTGCTGGGATCCTCTGCTGGGGGAGGGGTGCTGGGAGCTCTCCTGGGACTTTGCAGGCTGGCAGGAGAAAGCCCCAGGCACCCCCTCCCATCCAGCAGTTGGGAATAAGAGTTCTAGAGATGCTGGGGGGGTGGGGGGAAGGCGGGTAGAGAAGACGCCCACAGGGAAATGGCCATCTTTCCTGTGTGCTGGCATCTCTTGGGGTGTTCCACGTCACGGGGCCCTGAGGGACGTGGGAAGTCCTCAAGGGAGGCACACTGGAGAGGGGAGCCTTGAGACACACAAGGGGGGCCTTGAAACCCTTGAGGAACTTGCCTCCGAGGCAGGGAGAGGGCAGGAAATCCCTCCCTCTCAGAAGTTCTGACGGAAACAAAACACAGAAAGGTTTCAGTTCTTAAAGATGAGAATTTGCCAGAAGGATTTTGCCAGCAGCCTGAGGCCCCTGAGCACCACCCACTCAGCCTGGCCCCAAGGGAAGCAGCAGTAGCCGGGGTCTTGGGGCCCTCCATCTCTGGGCTGCCCTCCTGGGTGTGTCCCCCGGGCTCTGGGGTGGGAAGAAAGAGCAGGGCAGGGCCCAGTGCTAGTGCACCCTGAGTGTCACCCTCGGGTCACAGAGCAGGCCCCTTGCCTTTTCCAACTTGGGGCAGCAGGGGCTGGGAGTGCCTTGGTCAGGTGATGTGTTCAGGAAGGCCATTCTCGCTTTTCTGTGACATCTTGCCGAGGGCCCAGCTGCTGGGTGGTTTAACACTTGGCGCTGGGAAACCCGCCTCCTCTGTGCGGCTGGGCGCTCTGAGCCAGCAGGACACCTGCCCAGTGGTCCCTTCTGGACCTTGGATGTGGAACTTCCCCTACTCCCCCGCAGCAAGCGATACAGCACAGGGACCATTTGAGGGACCATGACCTCACTGGCCCAACTAGTACGGGGTCTGTCTGTGTGATACCCCCCCCCCTTCCTCTGCCCTTGGCCTTTTGGACTACTCACCCCCCACCCACACCAGCCCTCGCACTCCCCACCCCCCTTCACCCGTGTCCCAACGCCCTGACCCGGGTTCCTTCCCCTAGGAGTCACACGGGCCCTGTGGTGCCCACGGTGTGGGGGAGGGTCTCCCCAGCCCTGTGTTTCCTGGGGATTCTGCCGGCCGTGCCCCGTCGTCTCGGGGCGTCCTTCCCCCACCAGGCCTGGGTCCCTCAGGGAGGGAACAGCGAGGGCTGCTCAGAGGGGAGGCTCCCTGCCCTCCAGGAGGCCCTGTTGGCAGAATGTGGGGCTGGCGCCAGAGCCACAGGAAGCAGGAAGGTAGAGGGCTCTAGGCTCGTTTCCACGCCTCCCTGCAAAGCTCCTTTGCGGCTCCGGGCGTGCTCTCCGGTGCCTCCCAAACCCAAAACAGGCCACCGTTGCAAGAAAGCAGTGTGCCTTCCCGGCCCCGCGGGGCCCCTGGGTCTCAGTGGGGTGGTGGGAAGGGCTTCCCCGCCCCTGAGCCCCCCCAGGAGAGTCCTGGCTTTGGCTGAGCCCAGGGCCCCAGAAGGGCAGCTGCCGGCACTCGGGAGCGACGGGACGGTCACGCTCGAACCCTGGGGGTCGGGAGCGGTGGCCACAGGCCCTGGGCCGACAGGGAAGCAAGGGCGCAAAGACGGGGTGGTGCGGTGGGGAGGGTCGGCGATTGTGGGTGGGGAGGGTCGGCGATTGTGGGCGGCGCAGAATGGAGCCTGGGGCCGGGTGGCCTGGGCTGTGCGCACAGCGGCGGATGCACCCCCAGGGGCTGCGGCAGAGCCTGGGTTTACCCCGAGGTGGGCGGCGCGGGGCGGGCAGGCCCTGGCGCCCTGCTTGTGGCTGTCCCTCTCCCGCTGGGACTTGGGAGCTGGCCGGTGGGTGTGCCGTCTGGGATGGGGCAGGTCCGGCCCCTGGCACGTGGGTGGTGGCGGCCCCTGCTGGTGGAAGGCGGCAGTGCAGCCCCACCCTGAGATCCTGCGGAGGGAGGGGGCGTGGGGGGCCAAAGCCCCCCAGCAGGTACCTCGGTGGGTGTCTTCAGGAGCGGCAGTGCATTTTCTCACAGTTCTGGAGGTGGGCACTTGCTGCTCACGCTGCTGGCCAGCGGGGTCCCGCCTTCCTGGTGGCCTTCTGGCCGTGTCCTGTGGCAGAGGGAGAGACAGAGAGAATCTCGCGTCTCTTCTTACGTGGGCAACATTTCTGTTGGATCGGGGCCACGCCCTGTGACCTCATGTAACCTTAATTATCTCCATGAAATCTCTGCCTCCAAAGGGAGTCACCCTGGGGGTTAAATTTTAGGGGCACGCGTGTCGATTCGGAGGAACGGAAACATCAATCCCGTCAGGGGCGGCAGGGCCTGCTAACCTCCTGTTTTCTGACCGGTTCTTGGCTCTGCTTCGGGTCTGAGCACCGTCCTGATCTGCGGGGCCACGCAGGCTGGGGCATGGGTTCCACGGCCGGGTCTCAGTGTGACCTTCACCACCAGCTCCGGGCACCGGCCGTGCCGAAGCGGGCCCATCCCTGAGCTGCACGGCCCCGTGTCTGAGAAAAATCCGCCTCCTCCAGCTTTCTGGGCCTCCGTGGCACAGGGTGTGCCCGAGGCCGCTGGGCTTGGCTCCCTCGTGCATACAGCTTGGGAGCACCCGGAACCTTAGCACTGTGTGACCGGGCAGCGGGAGTCAGGTTCCAGAGGCCAGGAGGCCCCGCGGCGAGCCCCAGCTCCCTCTGCCAAGCCCCACCTGCTGGGGATTTGTCCCCTGGCTCACTTGAAAGGGGCGCCCAGTGCCAGGTCATCCCCGGACTCGTCCTGGGGGCTCTGCCTGTCAAGGGGTCTCCTTTCCACCCCTGCCACAGCCCCCTGGGCCCTCCTTGTGGCCGTGGTACCAGTCCTGTGGGCCGCCCTGCCCTGGGCTCCAAGACCCTGTCTCTGGGCACCCGTCCCACCTGCCAGGAAGGCCTTCTGGCTCCTGTTACGAGTCCCAAGTAGGGAGAGGGCTGGGAGGTGTGCACACAGAGAGCCCAGGAACTGGGCTGGGTCAGGTCGTGCTCGGAAACCTCTGGGTGGTGCCGGTGGCTCAGTCAGTCATAGTGGCTCAGGTGTGGCAGGCAGGGCCGTGGGGGGGTCAGTGAAGAGTAAGGTGGCTGGGTGGGGGAGGGGCTTAAGGGCTGACGGACATCAGACGGCGGCTGCCATGCAGGCCTTGGTCTGGCCCAGGTCCCACATCACTGCCACTCCTCGGTGCATGTGGCAGGCAGGTGCTGCCAGGGGACCGAGCCCTCACTGCCACCCTGGTGTCCTCCCCTAGGCTCACTTCCCTAGTGCTGGTTTGGGCCTGATGGGACCCTGGGCAGGGGCTCCCCAGCCGTATGCCTCACGGGGGGAAGTCGGGTCTCTCACGAGGGCGGTGTTCTGGATTTCTCAAGCACACTGCTCCTGGCAGACAGCGTGGTCCTGGCGTCCTCGGAGCCCTGAGGCCAGGCACCCGGTCTGTGGGGATGCCGTGTCCGCTCCTCCATGCCGCCAGGCCTGCCGCTCCCCCTCCCACAGGCGACGAAAAACGGCCCGGGGTGGGCAGGGGCTGCGCGGGTCCGACAGGGGCTGCGGGCCAGGCCTGTGGGCTGTGCTGGCCACCCGGCCCCTGGCCTGACCGACAGGGTAGTGGAAGTGTCTGGGTCTCCACTACCCGTAGCCGGCCCACCGCCTCCTCCAGGGAGCCTCCCAGTCTGCTTGGCCTCTGAACCCCGAACACCCGGGCTCTCAGCGGGGCCCAGTGGTTTGCACTGCGGGCTGGATGGCGCTGGGTAGGTCTGCAGTCCCTGTCTGCACCCAGTCCCCAGACAGGCTGGGGATGTGGAGCCAGAAACAGACCCGCGTCCCGGGCACCCTGTGTATGGACTGAGGAGCAGAGCCAGGCCCGTGAACACCGCAGGAACAGTGTTGCCCTCTCACAGTCCCTGCTTCCGGAACACAGAGCAGAGGAGGGTCCTGGGGCCTCCCTGGAGGAGGTGGTCACGTGGTATCCCTGCTCTGCGCCTGCTCAGGCCCCTCAGCCGGGTCACCCTCCTGGGCTGACCTGGGCTCCTGTCTGTGTGTCCCCAGCCATCAACTCTTGTGCCCTGGGGAATGGCGGCTGCCAGCACGAGTGTGTCCAGCTCACGGTGACCCAGCATCGCTGCCAGTGCCGCCCCGACTTCCAGCTCCAGGAGGACGGGAAACGCTGTGTCCGTGAGTGTGCCGCCAGCCCCCGGGAGAGAGGCTGGACCCCACCGGGGCTCCCATAACCCACAGAGCCGCCCGGGGACCCGAAGCCCGAGCCCAGGGCGGGTGCAGGGGCAGATGCTGGGGGGCTGGGGCTGGAAGGGGGCCTCAGCGGAGGCAACGAGGCATCGTCCAGCCCCTGATGGGGCACTGGAGAGGGAGCCCCTCAGGCTGTGCTCTGGGAGCACGGGGGAGGGAGTCCCTTAGGCTGTGCTCTGGGAGCATTGAGGAGGGAGCCCCTAGGCTGTGCTCTGGGAGCACGGGGGAGGGAGCCCCTAGGCTGTGCTCTGGGAGCCCTGTGGAGGAAGCCTCCTAGGCTGT